CAAACTGTTTTCCAACCCATAGTGACCTTGGAGGACAGAGTAAAACTGCTCCACAGCATTTCCAAGGCTGTCAGTGTTTATGGAAACGCTGTCTCATCTTTCCTTTGTGGTGTGGCTGGCAAGTTTCAATTATTGACCTTTTGTTTGGTAGCAAGCACTTAACCACTATGCCACCAGGCAGTGATGCTATGGGACAGTTTCCTAGGCTATAATCTGAAAGTAAGCCTGACCCAAGCCATTGTATTTTCAGTCACCTTGAATACATTTGAAAGCTGAACAATGAATAAGGAAGATCAAAGAAGAATTTATGCACTTGAATTGTGAATTTAGTGAAGAATATCGAACCACCAGAACAACAAATCTGTCGTGGAAGAAATACAACCAAAATGTATTTAGAAACGAGGATGGCAAGGCGTCCTCTCATATACTTTGGATGAATGATCAGGAGAGACCAAAATAAAAAAATTTTTAAACTCCCTGCCATCAAGTCAATACCTACTCATAGTGACCCCATAGGACACGCTAGAACTGCCCCTATGATTGCCCAAGACAAACTCTTTAGGGGAGTAGAAAGCCACAAGAGACCAGTCCCTGAAAAAGGACATTATGCTTGGTAACACGTAGGTTCAGCATGAGAGAGGAAGGTCCTTGATGAGATGGATTGGCACAATGTCTACAGCAATGGGCTCAGACTTAACAACTGTCAGGATGGCATAGGAGCAGGCAGTGTTGTTCTATGGTACAGGGTTGCTCCGAGTCGGAAGTGACAACAGCTCCTATCAACAATCTTTATAGGAATGGATTGCCAGGCCTTTCCCCTGCAGGGCTGCTGTCAGGTTTGAACCACTGATTTTTTGGTGAGCAGCCGAGCACTTAGCCATTGCGCTACTAGTGTTCCTTGCTTCAACCTAAATGCCTCCTAAAATCCCACTGTTCTTTCCCCCTCACATCCTTGCTTGCTCTGGGGATGATAACCTGTGAAACCATAGCAAAACTGAGTCCTCTACTCATCCCAGACCTTTCAACCAGGGCCTCCAGGCGTAAGACCTGGGCATCCGTGATTGGTTTTTAAATGAGTCCTCAGGTGGGACAGATTTGCAGGCCAGTCTTGGGAATCATCCCATTCACTCATGACTCCTCACTGCCCGATGAGTACAATGCACAAAAAACAAGACACACACACACAACTTTCTCCCTTTAGAAAGTGGGAAGCAGGGAGGCCCTGAAAACCATAGCCTATCCCAAGTCCTAAGTGGGCACTCGGAAGCTATCTGGTTTCCTGCCCGGCTCTACACTTGTTTTCATTTCTAGGCAGTGTTGGGAGGTGGCTCAAGGGGGACAGGCCAGTGTCAACTATGGAGGGCACGAGGACGAGATCAAAGCAGAGGTTACCTGTCAACCATCTTCTTAAGTCCCATGGCCTTTTGAAGACTCTGCAAGAAGAGAGATTTGTTGATCTTCCTGGATGTGAGAATCTCACCCTCAGTACCATAGAAGTCTCCTTCAGAGAGGGAGGGTCCACTTTCACCGGGAGCTGGGGGAACGAAATCTCTATTCCTTTCAGAATGGATCCAATTACACACACAGGCACTGGGGCGAACAAACATTTGAATACCCACTACAATGCCAAACAGTCCCTACACTGTTACCTACTGCCATCCTGTGACAGTGACAGCCCTCCCCCTGGAAATTCCCCCCTTCAGGTAAATTGATCTGGAAAGCTCGAGGAAGATTCCTTCAGCCCAGTCAATTCTGTATACCTCTTTCACTCTTATTTTTTCCACAGACATGTCCACACACTTGCTCGATATGGTCTCAGGGGACTGGGCAGATTCTTTTTGTTTAGTTCAGTCGCCTGGGTTTCAGTAGCCATAGCAACATTCCTGTCTTCAACAATGACCCTAGATCTAGGCGCTGATTGGTCACCGAGCCTGTCCTCTTGGACACACGGAGTGAATCTTGATTTCTACAGCTGTCCATCAGTGACACAGGCAACTTGAGCAAGTGCTCGGTTTCAGGATTTATTCACTTAGGGTCAGGAGTTTCTGGATGGCTCGAGGGCCAATGCTCCGAGTCTCATCAATTCTCCCTCCTTCCTACTCTATTAGGCAGAGCAGAGAACACACACAGTTTTAAGGAAAGACTCATAAGCTTTTTCAAAAGTTCATTTTATTAAATAACCATCTTATAGTCAGACCAGTACAATGGCTTGGTATGGGAAGTCACTTATTCACGTGGTTCCGTTGTACCACCAACAAAGAAAAAAGTAGGGATAGGAGTCTATCGGGTTATCAGAGCAGCTCCTTTTATTCGTGTATTCACAACAGTATGGCATGAACGTGGCATGGCGGGTCCTCACGTTGCAGGAAGGTGTGCAGCAACACATCTTGGCTGATGTGGGACAGACAGTAGGGAGGGCCTTTTCAAATGCCAATCACCGCCACCCCCCACCTGCCTCTCCAGTTCCCATTGTCTGCCCCTCCCACCCATCAACTTGAGATGCTCCAAACCTAAGCAGATCCTATTTACCTGTGAACAGTAACAGGTGGATAAGGAAAGCCACCACGCACCCTCATCTCAACTCTAACCTTTCAGATTAAATAGTCTGGAACAGGGCAAGGGAACATGATCAAAACCAGGTGAACATTTTTATGGAAGGCTCGAGAGACACACCAAGAACTCCAGAAAAAGTGCTTTGAGGGAAAATAGTTTTAATTGTTGTTCGGAAATATCCCCCGAGGGCTTCCAGGCAAGATCTGTGCACACATCCACACATCGGGAGCGTCGGGCAACAGAGTACAGGCCCACAAGCCAGCTAACCTGAGGACTGCCCAGCAAGCACACTGTCCTCCTGGCTCCATCTCCAGCGAGAGTCTGTCAGTTCCATCACAGAGTACTCTCCAGGGTATTGTAGTTGTCCTTAAAGCTCTTCAATTCGAGGAAGTGCTTGGCACGTTTACTCTTCTGATTGGAGGGGAGGTACGTCACCTGGATGGTAGTTGGGGAGACTTCAGGAGATTGAGTAAGGTCTTTGGCTGCTGACTGGTGGTGTCGCTGAGAGCTCCCACTTCGTGCTTTGACCCTGAATAATAGAGAACAGGTCACTCACAAGTGAAGGAATAAAAGCACACATACAAGTCAGGACTCATCCTGTCACACACATGCTGCAGTAGCCACTAGTGGTCTCTAGTAAACTCGTGACCAAAATCTCATCTGGTGTCTAAGAGGAATTTATCTCCCTGAGTCCCTGGTCTCTCACTCAACCTTTTCTTCATCTCACTATGCTCAGAGGAAACTTTTAACTCTGCCAATTCACTTAATTTGTACCAGCAGCTAATATGCTCTTAGTTCAACAAGTCTCTTGAAAGCAGTTATCAAAAAAGAATAATGTCAACAGTTAGTGGACCCATACAACATCTTCGGACCCTGCACTTGGTGCTGCACCAACATCTAATTTGATTCCAAAACCTCTACTGGAATGCTATTATCCCTGCCTTCCCGGGCCCAGTAAGTCACTGTGAGGTCACAATGATAGTGAAGTGACAGAGAGCTGGGATTCTAACCGAGTTCGTCAAATTTCAAAGCCTTCATTTCCCCCCACTATACTCACTGAGCCTTTTTTAGAAACTAATGGTCAGAAACAGCATTTCGTGTAAGCCTCCTGCCTGATTTCTGGGACATACCCTTTCCCAACTTCTCCATGTTCATTTTCATCACTGCCCCTAAGTAGTTTTGTCTGTAAGAACAAGATAGTTCATTTTCAGGTACAGAGAGAGGGCAGGGCAGACTTCTTATTCTAGACTGGCTTTCCCTCTACACCGAGTATTTTCATTTTAATATTTGCAGAAATAGCATTCTCAAAACCAAGCTCACTGCCAGAGAGTCAATTCATTGCGGCCTTATAGGACAGGTACAACTGCCCCTGTGGTTTTCCAAAACAGGAACTCTCTCCAGGAGTGGAGAGCCTTATCTTTGTCCCATGGAGCAGGTGGTTTCAAACTGACTTTGTGGTTAGGAGCCCAATGTGTGACCCACCATGCCACAAGGGCTCCTTAAATAACATCATTAAGCTATATTTAATCAAAAAACCCAAAACTGTTGCTGCCAAGTCTATTCCAATTCATGGCAACCCCATGTGTTATACAGAATTACTCCATGGGGGTTTAAAGCAATTCTAAACAAAAGTCATAATCGTTCTCCTGTAACACGAATATCCAAAAGCTGACTCTCTAGACTAGTTTTAAACAGGGTTATCAATGCTATAAGTGGTCATAGAAATGGGTGGCACCAATCTTACTGGACCAAAGCACAAAAGGACAATTAAACCAGAATAGGAGGAAACTCTGTGTGCTGAGAAACTATTCCCTTTGCTAGGTTATCAATTTTGACCTTTTCCTGTGGTTGAAGAACCACAAGGAGGAAATGCACAAACCCTCTTCAGCTTATACCAACTGTAAGCATCTGCTTACAAAAGTGAGCAAGCAGTTCACGTTGCTTTGTCTACGGACATGACAGCATAGGGTATGACCGGGTTCTGCTCATATTGCTCGATGATGCTCATCCTGCTATGAAGTAGTCTGGCACTTCTAACATGGAGCCAACCTGCCAGTCCCCTTTGACACACTTCCCACCAAACTCACGCAGTGGCCAGCTCAGTCAGGGCCTCCTGATAGCGCAGGTACTCACTCTGGCCAAAGACCTGAGGAAAGAGGAAGAAGAAAGGGTGAGAGCTTGCAGTGCAGGGCACCTTGGTTCCTTGAAGGCGGAACCGGCCATCCAGCTTACCCCTGTCCCATAGCGGGCTGTCTCGTAGCCATCCAGCAGGGCATCGATGAGGGCCTTGCGCACACCCTTGAAAGGAGTAGTAGCGTTCCGAAGATCTAGCAGGTAAGAGCGGAAATTCCTGCCCATTAGGGAACAGGGATGCCGGCCTTCAGTGTGAAATGGGATCTCTGAGGAGATAATAGTACAATGATACCCTTTTGCCCAATTTTCAGTCTGTCTAGTAAATTCCTCAAATTTACAACTAGGTCCAGTGTGAGTTTGGGAGGAAGGGATGCCTAGTAGAATTCACACAATGAGAGGTGCCCAGCTGTGCATAGTTGGTGGAGGCCACACAGCTGTAAGCTACACCAGTAACACACAACAGTGATGCTGTGCTTTTTAACCTCCTACTAATATAGCTTGGCTTTCAGACATCAATTATGTTTGAGTAGACAGACAATATATACTAAAGTGTTTCAGAGAATCAGGCGGAAGATTCCATTTTCTTGTAATTACTTTTCCCATGAACTTTTTGAAACCCTCTTGTATGACAAGTGGTTACGTAATGGGGGAAATTCAAGAACCGTCCACGATGGTAGTGAAAGTGGATGCTGTCTTTTTAAAGCATTGCCAGTATATATGAAACAAATGATCGCTTAGATTTGCCACTCCAGCATTCTGTATAGCCACAGTTGGTGCCATGTTTATCATGTTGCTCAGGTCACCTCTCATGGAAAACAAACTATCATAAAGCTCATGAAACTACAGGTCTCAGAAACGGGGGTTTTAAAACAAAAACAGTTGTTTTGAGAAATTGCTTGCTTTTATTATTTCTTTATGCAAACAGGCTAATCTAGTACACCACACTCTAGGCAGCTTGTGCTGGCCACGACTGTCCAGAGGACCAACCCAACCTAAAGGGCTTCATCGCCCTTTTTCCCAGGTGAGTTCCCAACATCCCAGAATGGACCCTGATGGGCAGCCCTTACCAGAGGCACGGAGAGCGTCCAGAGCTTTCATCCTGTACAGATAGTTGTAGCAATCTGTTGGAAAGAATCTGGCTTCAGGCATAACCTTCAAAAGATCTCCCAAACGCCAGCAAGCTAAGAAATTGCCTTCCCCCACCAGATATATATACCCAGTAATAGGAGAACCACAGCTGCTAGTTTTGCCAGCAGCTATGTTGACAACTTTGAAAGTAAAAGAATTCAGAACTCGTGGGATTCCTCCCTGAAGCATCCTCCAGGGGAGTTTGCCACATACTTTGATTTCCCTGGGTTTCCAGCTGTAGCAGTCTGGCATCATCATCTGCAAGGAGCTGGGGCTCGTACTTGATATCCTGAACTCTGGATAGTCGAATATCAATCTCTTCTTTCAGATCCTGTGCAAGTGGATAAAAGAGTACGATCAGTTCACTGTACACATGGCTCCCGTTAATCTTACAATGGACCAGAGCAAGTAAACAACTCTAACAATAAACACAGAGAAAATGTACGTACTGAACTTGTCAGATAAGATGCATGAAGTTAAGGGAGAACTCTCCATGCTGCACATCTCTTAGCGAGTTTCTTAACCTGTTAGAATTTCTTCATAATCTATAACATCAATATTATTTCTGACTTCCACATGGACTAAAAATCTTAGCCATTTTAAAGAATTTCCTGAAGTGGGGGAAACTGAATGGCAACTGACAGTTGCTCAATCTATGAAAAGGGGCCTGTGACGGTTGGTGGCAGCTTGAGGAGTAGCCTATCTGCTGGGCCTCAGGGCTTCCATAGGCTGCCTTCCAAACATGAGAGCACATTCAAAAAGGAGGTGATTCACATCCCAACAGGTACCAAAGGTGTCATCCTTCACTTATGCAGAAGCAACTGTTGCTATCGGTTTTATGCCAACCTCTTTGTTACCAGAGGGTTGCCAGTGTCCCGAAATAATTTTTTGGGTAACCTTTTGAACGCCCCCAAAACCAATGAAATGCTTCATATACAAAGCATGCATTACACACATATTTTGAGTAAAACAACCATCAAGACGAGCCCCATTGTCCACTATCAGTTTCTGAGCTGGGGCATTACCAATTGACTTTGAAACCCCTGCTCATCCTCGATGGCAGGTTCCTGCCATCCCTGACTGAAACGTATTTTCTTTCTTCACTTTATCACTTGCCACCCTAAATAAGGTACTTAAACTCTGCTTAGTTTTGAACTTCACATAAATGGAAAGGGACTTTAAAACTTATATATGAATAAAATACACCCATGTTAAGTGTATATGTTGGCTGATGAAATTTTTTTTTTTTTTAACATTTTATTAGGGGCTCATACAACTGTTATCCCAATCCATACACACATCAATTGTGTAAAGTGCATTTTGTACATCGTTTCTCAAAACATTTTCTCTCCATTTAAACCCCCGACATTAGGTCCTCATTTTTCCCCTCCCTCCCCGCTACCCCCTCCCGCATGAGCCCTTGATAGTTTACAAATGGGGATTTTGTCATATCTTGCCCTGTCCGACGTCTCCCTTCACCCACTTTTCGGTTGTCTGTCCCCCAGGGAGGAGGTCACACACAAAGATACTCATCCAACTATTATCCCAATCAAGACACGGAGCATTCCCATTACTTTTTTTTTTAAAAGCATTTTACTGGGGGCTTGTACAACTCTTATCACAATCCATGCTTACATCCACTGTGTCAAGCACATTTGTACATGTGTTGCCATCACCATTCTCAGAACGTTGGTTTCTACTTGAGCCCTTGGTATCCGCTCCTTTCCATTACTTTAATGTGTTCCCTAAGCTTTCTATGCAGTTATCTTCCCCTCACCACAATACAGATGTGCCACCACTACCGGCCACAAAAATGGATTCACATGTCCTTATATTTTTGTGTCTGGCTTCCTGGCTTATTTTCCTTCAGGTTTTTGAGGTTCATTTGTGTCTGCAACAGACTTTTTAATTAAAAACATTTTGGAGAGTTGTGTTGATATACATTTTAGTTTATTTTCATTCCCGTATAGTATTCCAGAATATAAATATCACCATTTATCTATTTTAATGTAGACATTAGGAGCTCTTATGCGTTGGGCTGCTAACCCCAGGCTCAGCGGTTTGAAACCACCAGCCCTTCTGAGGAGGAAAAGAGGCTTTCTACTCTTGTAGTTAGCCATCTCAGAAGCCCAGAGGGTCAGTTCTGTCTTAGAGGGGTTGCTATGTGTCAGAATCGACTCAATGGTGCTTTTTTATCTAATGTGTACTGTTGGATTATGTTTTTAAAAATGCTATCAACAATGCTATGAATAATATTATGCTTGTCATTTGGTGCACACATGCAAAATTTCTCTACAGTAGGTGTAGGGTTGATAGGTCAAGGATTAAGTATGTGTGCAGTCTTACTCAAGAAAGTTCAAATATTTTCTAAATTAGTTTCACTAATTTAAACTTCCACTACCAATGGATGAGATTCCTTTCTTTTTAAAAATTTTATTTATTTTTTAGACTTTTCTTAACAGCAAATGGCTCCATTTGGTCCAGAAGTCTGTATCAGTCTACGTTTTGATCACCTCATGCATCAGTTATATGTTGCTCTTCTGAGTGTCAGTTGGCACTTGAATAGCTGAGGAAATGAAATTAACTGGAAGGAGCACTGTAGAGGTTTCAGGCTGTGACTTCCTGCAGTGGCATGTCAGCAAAGAACAAAGGGATGAAAACGTCATGGCACTTTAAGGAAAGATTAATCCTGATCTAAGAGCTGAGAGACTCATATAGCAGCTCTACTCCTCCACCTAACTCCCTGCTCTTCAATAATGACCCTACTATGTGTAGACCTCAGTTCTGAGTGAACAAAACTGATATGGTACCTGCATTCTCGAAGCTCTTAGTCTAATGGAAGAGGGTAGCCTTAAACAAATAAACAGAAACGTGACAGAAAAGAAAAAAAAATCAGGGTACTATGAGAAAATAAGAGGAGGGGCCTACTTCAACAAGCATTCCTCTTTTGAGGAAGCAGCACTTAAGATCTGAAAACAGAAGGAACTGCAACGCTTCCCTCTCGGGTCAAAACGGCGGGCAGATCCCATTGTCGCAGCCTCAGGTGGCCGGATGACATTTGAAAATGGTACTTCAATGCTACGGGGTTCAAGGGGGTTCAATAAACGCATGTTACTGTGAGCTGACACAATACACGAGAACAAAGATGTGATAGAAGTCATAAAAAGGCTTCCTGAAAACCTTTATAATTATCTGGCCATAAGGCAACAGATGTTGCCTAAGGAGCAGTGGACAAAATAGGAAAAAGATAAATTCTACCAGGAACCGTTATCTGAAAGAGGTTATTTGGGAAAGAGAAGAGAGAGAAAAATGGGAAAGCAGTTATCACGTCCTTGAAATCTGTGGAGGCAGCTGTCCTCAAGAATATTTTTTCCCCCCCAAAAAAAATTTTAAGAAAAAAAAGAAAAAAAAAAAAAATTTTTAAAGAATATTTTTATGAAATGAATAAAACTTTTTAAAAAGAATATTTTTATGAAGTTGGTTCAACCTGAAATGTATAATTTGAAACTTAGTCTAGGCTGCAAATGTATTATTTTAAATAAATATCTACTGTAATCTTTGTTGGATTTTTGAATCCTAAACCCCATAAAAATCTTGACTGCTGAAAATACATAAATAAAATAAAAAACTGAATTAAGTGAAGATCATTCCAGTCATAGTGACAGCACACAGAAAGGTAAAATCCAACCAGTGGAGGGATACTGCAGTGTTCAGACAGAAGGAAGCTGGTGAAGGCAAGATAAATGCCTACACTATTTGGGAAACAAGAAACAAGCTAAGCTATCACAAGTCCTAATTCAGAGATGTTAGGGCAGCTACAGGCACTTGGATAGATAAGTGTGGGAGTGTAGAAAAAAGGCTCAGAATAGAGATGTGAAACAACTTGTGGATTTTTTAAAACCATGGAAAAGACTTCCATTCCTTAGAGGCCATTTGTTAACAGGCCATTTGGCTATTCATTTGCCATACAATCAATCACTTGCTATAAATAATCCACTTGGTTAGTTGATTAGCAAGTTAGACTTGATTGATTAGCAGGTCAGTTTTGTTGTTTACAGACCCAAAGTTCTCTTAGATATAGACCTTATTACTCTGAGGCTAATTTTAACAACCTTAACCCCCACCTAGACTGGACAATTATATCCTGAGCATTTCTGACTTACATTGAAACATGCTAACTTTCTTAATATATCCTTTAGTCATGAAAAAAAAATGAAACCAACCAAACAAGCAAAAATAGCAATTTAAGATAAACTGGAAAACATCTCACCACAAAGGAACTTTAATAAAAACTCTTCCGTCTACAGATGCCAAACCTAATGTTTGTAGTCTGCATACCAACAGCAGTGGGGAAGTAAGCCAAGTCTCAAGAACGACAGTTAATGCTCCATCTACTGAGATCACCAAAAAGTACCATACTCACTGTCATTGAGTCAATACTGACTCATACCAACTGTATAGGACAACTGCCTCTGTGGGTTTCTGCAACTGTAACTTTTTTTTTTTTAATTTTATTGAGGGCTCGTACAATTCCCATCAGTCCATACATACATCCACTGTGTCAAGCACATATGTACATTTGTTGCCATCATCAATCTCAAAACACCTGCCTTCCACTTTAGCCCTTGATATCATTTGCTCATTTCCGCCTCCCCCATGAACCCTTCATAATTCATAAATTCTTATAGCCTCATCTTTCTCTCGAGGAGGGGCTGGTGGTTTTGAACTGCTGACCTTGGGGTTAGCAGGCCAATGAGTAACCTCTATGCCACCAGGGCTCCTTTCTACTAAGGTAAGCACGATGGAGACAACGTCAAAGCCTGCTTATTAAAGTCATCTGTGAAGGTAGAGAATCTCGTTCTTGCTCTAAGGAGATGTGGGGCAGCACACCCTCTGGGTGTCTTCAGTACCTACCTTGGGGGCATTGTGTCCCACAGGGACATGCGGTCCCCTCCGGGATTTCATTGCAAAGCGCATGATTTGCCTCTTCACAAAAATAAAGAGCAGTACAAACACCTGTCCAAAAACAACAAACCATGAGAAAATGGAAGAATCTTTCGAAGATGGTAAAAATCAGTCACGCCTTCATTCCAACTCCCCGGATTTGGGGTCTCGGGAAGCTTTTGGGTGACACTGGGGCAAAAGTACGGCCATTAAATATGGGTTTGGATTTGGAAACCCTGCAGAGGGGAAGCTCCCTGTGGGGTGGGTGGGTCGCTCCCCTCCTGGAGTTCGGCGGGAGGGCACCCCGTCAGGGGCAGGGCGGTGCTGGCCGTGACTTCAGCTCCCTGGTGCTCCCGGGAGAGGAGTCAACACCCAGAAAAGGCACAGGTGAGTGGGAGGAGAACGAGGAGAGCCAACAGCTCAAGAGGGTCTCCACTAGGTCGGACGCGAGAGCAGGCAAGGGGTGGGGATCTCCTCACCAGGCTCCCGTAGGCCATCACCAGCACGACATTCACCCCGGACAGCCAGTTACTACTGGACGCCATGGCCTCCCCACCCCGCGCCGAGCTGCTCCGGTTTACCCCGCTGCCCTGTCTCGTCAGCCCGGGTTCTGCCGAAGCAACGGCGTCTGCGTTTCCCGGAGCTCCCCGGCCATTTCCTTACGGGGGCAGACTAAACGAGACCCGGCCTGAAAACATGGCGGCGGGCGGGGGGGCGGGGGGTGAGGAGACGGGCGCCGAGCCGCTCGGCAGCTTCCCGCTGGCCCCCGGCACGTGACTGAGGCTGCAATGGCCCCCGGGAGCGGCGAGCGCGGAGATGCGGAACTACGCTTTCAGAGGAAGTGGAGGCCATCTGTGCGTCACGTGGTGAAGGCGGGGCCGCGGTGAAGGAGGCGGGGAGGACGCGCGGAGCCCGAGAGAGGTGTCTCGTGGCGGTTCGGCGCGCGCACGCTGACGTGCGCGCGGCTTTCCGTGTCACGTGCCAGGGGACGCAGGAAGGCAAGTGGGAGGGGGGAAGCGCGAGAGCGAGCGCGAGGGGGAAAAGGAGGGAGGGGGTGGGGAGGAGGGAATCTTCTATCACGTGACAGGGGCGGCGCGGCCCGGGGTGTCAGTGTGGAGGAGACTGAGGTAAAGTTGGGAGCGCAGCGGCGTTGGCGGCGGCGGCGGCGGCGGCAGCGGCAGCGCGGCGGGGCCGGGTATTGTCCGCGGCCCCTTTAAATCCGCGATCTCCTTTTTACCCTCCCTCCTTTCTCCCTTACCCCCCGTCGTATCCCCCTCCCGCGGTAGGCCCCCCGCACCGTGTGTCCCCCACTGTACACCCCCCTTCATGGTCGTACGAGCCCTTAGCCTCCCCTCCCTCGAATCGGCCGCCAGAGGTTTTGTTTATGGTTAGGTCCGCGGCCTAGTGGGCCGCGCCAGAGCCGGGGCCTCGATTTGGGAGCGTGGCCGGGGCGGGGCTTGGGGCAGCCGGAGGGGGGGGGGCATGCGGCTACAGCCCGAAGGGGGGAGAGCGAGAAAGAGCGCGAGCGAGCGAGCGAGGCCTGGGCTCTGGCTGAGGTAGGGCCCTCCGCTCCCTGGTCGGTGCCTGTGGACGAGACCAGGGGGCCGCCTGCAATCCTCTGCGGGCCTCCTGCGATCCGGATCCGGCTCGGTTTGGGGGCGGCGGGAGGGGGGAGGCGATGGGGTGGAGCTGGCCCAAACTCCCCCATGTGGCCCTCCGTTTGGAGTGCGGAGGATTAATTTGTTCCGGGTGGGAGGCGATCAGGCCCCGCGGGTTCCCGATGTGGCGCTCAGGTGGGTGAGCCGTCCATCCTCCACGCGTGGGCTTGCGTCCCCTCGCCGTTCCACCCTCTTTGTCAGCCTCCTTTAATACCCCTCCATCTTCCTCACCACCCCGGCTTCTGGAGTACGTTTTGACTGCTGTCTTGAGCTTCCTGGTGCCCATACTCTGCTTTGGGGTGCCCCAAACAATTATGATGTTATTGGGGGAGCTGGACGTGCAGGGCTCCGAGAGAAGGGTGGATTCTGCCGAAGGGATGTCACTAGAGCGCTGGGCTATTTGTTCACTCTTCTCGGAGTGGGACAAGAATTCCACCTTTTTTCAGGCCTTTTACCTCCTGACAGGCCCTAAATTGTCTCGAAAACTGATGTCACAAACCGGCTTGCTCCTTTTCCACCTTTCTTGAACTCTAGCCACCTCTGGTGTAGGACGTTGTGGAAAGAGAAACAGCCCGGTAACAGGCGGTTTTTTGGGTTACCGATTTTCTGTTGACCTGCTCTCCGAGTTTGGGCCCTAGAAATCCCTTTTTTGGTTGGTTGTTTCCTGTCCCCAGCCACCTTTTCACGCTGTTATTCTGCCTTAGGGCGATCTGATAGGCCTTGCTGGGAGGTTTTGAGGGTTGGTGACCAACAACTAGAGAACTGGAGGTTTTGGCTGAGTGTCAATTGGTAAAAGTGCTTTGAGATCTTAACACCATTGTCCTTAAAGATTAGACTATCCCTGTGATTGTTTCCGTTGTGACGGGAAATACTGCTGGCATGTAAATTGGTGATGAAAAGCCTAAAAATGTACTGTTACCTTTTTATGAAGCCCCTCTCTGCTATGGGTGCCCTTCCTGGGAACTACTTTTGTCTTACTAGAATCAAGGATGCAGAGGTCATTTCAACAAAGCAACTAAGAAATAAGTAGCTCCCTTAGAGGCAGCAAGCCATGCCCATCCCAGTACAGCTTCAGAGTTTCTGCATTGTTTCACGGAATTAGATTGTAAGCTCCCTGAGGGCAGTTACCAAGTGGTCATGCTTTTGTATTTCTTGAAGTACTGGACACATAGTGGTTGCTCAATAAATACTTGTTATTTTTTTTTTCAGTAAATTTTCTCTGGCTATTTTTTTAAAGTAGCTGGTTTCCATAAAATGGTCAAGGACATTTCTTGTTGAACCTGTATTTCCTCTCACATATTCCCTTGGTCTCCAATACATATCTCACCCTAGTTTTCTTAAATATTTTTGTTCTCTATAAAAGAATTTAAACAAGACTTCTCACCTTCACCATGATAACTCAGGGTAGTGTGGGCTTGCTACCAAAAGGCTGTCTGATTCTGTACCTCCAAGAGATCCGTTCCAGATCACTTGCTACGAGATAGGTAGTAAAATTTTCATAGTCACATAGTTCACAGCCCTTGTAAGAGAGAAATGGAAGTTATTAGCAAGATTATCAGGAAGATTCCTATATTATTTTCTAGTAAATGATGTGGTCTTTAAATGACTTTTTCTCATGTATTTGTACAACTGACTGGATATAGCATGGAAGCCCTAGTAGCGCAGTAGTTAAAATGCTCAACTGTAAGTGCTCCTCTAAGAGAAAGATGTGGCGGTTAGCTTTCATAGAGTTTCACAGGCTTGGACACCCTATGGGGCATGTCTACTCTGTCTTGGAGGGTCAATACGAATCAGAATTGACTCGAAAGGTACTGGGTTTGGCATTTTTTTGGTTGGGTACAGTGTATTCATTATATGATCTGTCAAAAAAAATTAGGCATGTAGTTTATATCTCTGCATTATAAGTCATACAAATTAAATCGTGGAGTAAAAGTCAGTATTTGGGTTAGGTGGGAAATGGCAACTACCACATCAGAAACTTTATTTTAGAGCTCATTTTAAAGTGTAATAACTTTTGTCTAGCTTTGTTTTGGTATTTTTTTCTTGTTGATTTGGATCCAGGAGTACTTAAACAACTGTCTTTTTTGTAAGTTAAGTGATGAATCTTGATTGTAATGCTATCTATAATGCTGCCTGGAAAAAGAATTCAGTTATTAGCTTCAAACATTTACAAGTCTTTGGGTGCAGGTGTATGTAAGGAGAAAAAGTTATGGGTAAAAAAAAAAAATTAGCCAAGTAGTGGTCTGAAATTTTATTTCTTGGTAATTGAGCATGTAACATTCCCAATTCTTAATGGCCATGTCAAATAAATAAGCAAACATAAAAACAAAACCCCCCAAACAAATAAAAACTCTATGCAATTGTTGATTTAAAGCAGAAAATAATTTAACATTCTGTGGCATCCAAGGTGAAATACATTTTGTTGAGAGTTAATCTTTGAATATTTCTAGAAGGTTCTTTTTTCTCACTCCTTCCACCCAGCAATGGCTTTTGCGCATTCTAGAATGATCCCTGTATACAGTTTCATTTATGAAAAATAAAAGAAGGAAAATATAAACTTGTCCTCTTTAGAAGGGAATAAAACAATGCAAAGTAACCACTTACTTGGAGCACTTTATCATATGAATGTTTTCTTTGTTTACCAAAAGCAGCAGCTGAGATTGCATTATACAAAGTATGAATGAAAGGAACCTTGAATTCAGTAGAATCCTTGCTTGACAGAAACCTTGTGTGGGTTTTAGGGAGGCCCTGTGTACTCTCTCTTTAAAGATTCACTAAGTCATCTTGCCAGCAGTAATGCCTCAAGCTTTAAAGGCCCTTTCTTCTAAATAAAGCCATACATGCTTTTGGTTGGGGACAGATTTGGGATTTCTCTGTCCATTAAGGTGAGTGGTCAAGGGTCATGGTAATTCTGGTATGGGGACAGTGGACTAGATGACCAACAAAAGCAGCCTCAAGAGCAATATGTTGAAATTATTGTCCAGGGATCTGAGGGTCTAGACAAAGGTAGTGAGACTGATCCATGCCCGTTTTTAGACTAGTTCAATAACAACAAAATCCCCCTATAACATGGTGGGGAGTCGAGACGAGAGAGAAAAACACTTGGGATTGCCCTTTCCCAATGAGGTTCATGCAACTTAGATAAACGGCTAGTCAGGGTGTTTTCTTGGCTAGATTGAGTCTAGTATTACATATGTTTTTGTTATGTCTTAGGATTACAGACTGACCCCCTTCCTGGAAAACTTTCTTTGTTTCTCTAGTAAGGTAGCAAAACATTAAACCTTGCTAATAGGGAAATAATAAAGAAATCTTGCCTGTAATTTTAAAAACAACAAGAAAACCTTATTCTTAAACTTCAGTGAGCACTCATTTACCCAGGCTCTATGTTTCTTATAAAGCATGGGAGTAACAGCTATAGTTCCTTAAGGAATCGAAGTAATGTGTCTCAGGAACAAACATAAACCTTTGTGGTTGTTCCTTTGAAGAAATGAAGGTGCTTGGTGGTGAAGGTGCTGATGAAAGAGGTTGAAAATATTTTGCCCACATTTAACATCTAAACTCCTCCCCCCTTTTTTTTCAATCTTTCAGTAATCTACCTTGTAAATACTGTTATTTGTATATACTGTAAATGATGACATCGGTGGGCACTAACCGAGCCCGGGGGAACTGGGAACAACCTCAAAACCAAAACCAGACACAGCACAAGCAGCGACCACAGGTAAAGAACCCAAGCGATCCATGGGTAGCTTTGCTGGTTGATAGTGCTTTTCATCCAATATGGCATCATTCTTTGTTTCGAGTTGTTGGTAATGGATTTTTTTGTTGTTGTTGTTGAACTGACGTTTATTGAGCCCCCTTTTGTATCAGGGTTGGGGCTGAAGTTTCAAGGGCTGACCATGAGGTCACCCCATGGGGCTCTCTCAGCCTATGCAAGGGTAGAGCCAAGGCTTAGAACTCACCTTAGCCAGTGGGGGAATGGAGGCTCATAGAGAGGGCTCTGGTCTGCTTCCCCTGGTCCAGGCCCCTCGGCTGTCCCTCCAGCGGTAATGGATTTTCTTA